ATTGATTATATGACTGGGCGTGCGTGCCAATGGTGACCCTATGTAGGCTTGATTAGGCAGGCTTGTGTCTGCATGTCTACCGTGCCTATTTCTGTGGGGAGGCCTGTGCTGTAGTGGTTGCTGAGTTGTGCACGGCATTATTCTTGGACCGGATGCTCTCGATACCGCGGGCGCCGGTTGGTGATCCTTCCTTGTTAGCGGCCTGCATTCCCACAAGACCTCAACCTTTCCTCTGGGACCATCTGGCGAATCACTTGGCCGACGGCGGGGCATCTGGACAGCAATTTGCACCAGGAATCAAAGTAATGCGTGGTATTCCATCTTTGCACACTGTTAATGACTTCTCTGTCGAACAGATACGTACAAGTAGGGACAAGTAGGTGGTGGCAGGAACTGCCTTCCGACCTCCAGGCACAGCCGTGGACTACACCAAATGCAGGATATTTAGACGATTAGATGATGACATTCGCTGAGAATGGTATGGTGCAGTTGACGGATTTGAGGGGTTATTGCATGAACGATGATGGAACCCCGCTCCATCTTCTCAAATACTCCGGAAAGATTCAAATACGTAAATTTTGTGTACCTCGCCATGAAGATCACAAAGGTCTCGCGGGACCAGAACGAGACACGAGTTGAGGCTGCTGGGCCAGTAGTTAGTTACAGCGGACACAGGCGCCGGTGTGCTTTGTCCCATCTGCCGTATTGCCAGCCCTAATAAGTAACACTGGAGAACGGCCAAGTAGCTAGGGGACCTGAGGTAGGTAACTTGGACCAGGAGCATCTTCGCACCTATGGACACGGCCTTTGGTACCCCTGTCACACGCCTCGCACCCTTGTCACGCCGCCCACGGCAGCTCAGGTAAGGCAGGTTTAGCCTGTCAGCGTGTGCGACACCCCGTAGGGCTGAGCTCCAAAATGCCTGGCCACCAGGTCTGTAGGACAAGGCGAGCTGTCCACCAGGAGTAACCACGATGGGGCGAGGTTCAACGGCAGCATGCACGGCATACAGATGAGCTCGAGATGCGCGACTGGCGGTGAGCGAGGTGGCCAACCTGATGACTCAAGAGAGAGAGAGAGAGAGAACGATATAGAGGGATAACTAGCAGCTATATGCTGCTGCTCAGCTGGAAATCCCAGGATCTGACACGGCCGTCGACAACCTTCCTACAGGCAGACGATACAGTCAGGACCTGCGCCCTGATTTGCTCGGCGCAATCGCAAGTTAGGTGGCTGATAGAGGGTCTGGACACGAGACGGATCAAACGGAAATCCACATCTTGGATGTTGTGTCGTATCGAGTACGCGCACTCGTGAATGGATTTTGGAGTCGTTTCCGAGATTGGCTGAGGCAGCAGGTTCGTTTGGGCCCGGGTCTTCGTCTCGAGCACACATGCATGCGAGCCTCCTTGGAGCCGCTGCTCCTATCACGGGCATTCCGTTAGAGGGAGATAGAGAGATCAACCATACCTGCACTTGCCGACAAACAAAGCAGTAGACAGATAAGTCTGCGGAGCACGAAAAGTCACCCGCGTCTCCCAAGACTGGCTGGATTGACCCAACAAGAGTAATCAGAGTAAATGCAAGTACCATCCTGCGGTGCGATCGCGGGCCTTCCTGTCAGCCTCTGCCCGCAGGATTCTCTTCGTCTTCAAAAGTACCTAACCTAACTAATAGGTAGGACATCATGAGATGTCATTCATGGCGCCCCCTAAACGGCTCTTGGCAGCTGTCCAGCTGGTACACAATATCCGCTTGCTAGGGGAGTGGACTATGTTGCTCGGCATGCCTTGTTCCAGCTGAACGCAATGGTGTCATCCAGTGTCTGTGCACCATGGCCCGCCAGAACATTCTTTTGAGTAATACCTCCTTCTCACAGTGAGTCTGATGTATGGTGATGGCAGGAGGAGGTGGGCGATTCATGGAGTGCTCTTGCTGAACACTCGCCCCATTCCATCTTGCAGCGGTGAATGACCGCTCAGGACATCCAAGAGCGTCCATTTTGTATCAATTAAGTACCTAGTACTCACCAATGAACCAGAGCTGGTCGCCTACGCTCGCGATCTTTTACGAGCCTTCGCCGACGAGCGCCTCCAAGACTTGCCACTGGGACTGTACGAGGCAGCTACCGGACTACCTACCCTGAAGCCCTGGAAACAGCAGTGTGTAGCAGTGGGCTAATTTGCAAGCAGTGGACTTTTCAGCAGCCACCCTCCCTAAGGTACCAACATTACTCAGTTGCGCCGTACCGTCCAATGGAAGGGCTGGCTTCTCATGGATGGGGAATGCCTTAGCGCCGAGCATGGGCATCCTTTACGGGGCCCTCTCCTCTGGACTTGTCGCTTGAGTGCCCTGTCTGGTGGCCCTTTTCAAGGCGTGTTTAGCGTGTCCGAGGCAGTGGATCTCGCCTGACCGTGCTGTGGGTGTCCTCGCCTTCCAGGGCACGCTCTCACAGGTCGTCTGAGAAACGAGCAGGTCGGTGGTAGGCTGGCTACCACTCTAGCTTGAGACATCCAGGCGTGCGGTCAGGATGGATACGTATCGCTACTTCTGGAGCTGAACCCCAGCTTGTACCTCCGGGTTGTTTCTGGCTAACTACCTAACTGGTATTGGCACTCTGATGGCTCCCTCCCACCCATCATCCAATTCAAAGCATGGAACCGGCTTGCCCTACAGGCAGCCAAACTCCACCGCCATCACCCGTTCCTTTTCCACTGTCTTTCGACTGCCTGTTCTGCTCTGGACAGGTCCCGGAGAGAAGAAGACGGCGCTGCCGCCGAGAAACGGTCTGTGCTTGACGCTGTGAAGTTAGCAAAGACGAGCTGTGCGCTCCGTGAGCAGGTAAGGTCAAGTAGGTACTCGCTCAGCACGGACATGCATGTCCGGTACCTACATCCGGTAGATCTGAGGGATTGACGTGCCACCGCTGTTGATGTCGCGAAGTATTTACTCCGTTCGGATGGTGTGGCGTGTCCTTGCGTGTCAGTGTGTGTGAGTGTAAGTCGACAAATTTTCACCCATTTCGCTTTCCTTATTGTGTCTTGGTTTCTTCTCGTAAACATACTACCTCGTAATCTAATTTTGCACAACTTCTTCTGCTTTGAGAGAATCTTGTGGTTTATTTCTTAACTGCTCGCTACTCCTCTCATCCGGCCGCCTCAGCTGATATCCCAACCTCTCAGTCCCGTGTTGTAAGTAAGCGGTGTTTCTCGTCCTCTTGCCCCCTGCCTCTCTGACTGTGTGTCATCCCATCCCATCCAAGCACAAACAAGGCCGTGGCTTTGGCGGACAGCCGCGACTCATTCTCTCCTCCTCTTCCTCTCAAACACTTTACAAACCATGTCCCATTGTCCTGTCCGCTGTGGCTATTTCCCTCCTCTCTGACCGACCAAGTGGCCCGAGGGAGGTGAGCCATACGAGCCCTGACTGACCTCATCTTCTCTCAGCCAGCACGACTCCGTACCTTACCTTACTATTGTTGTTTGCCGTTCTCCACTGTTCGTTCCTCTTGCCTGGGTCTCGACTCTCTCTCGCAGAGCGAACTGCTGGTCCGTAAAGTTGGTACGAAGTAAGTGTACTGTACCAATTCCGTACCTTACCCTTCTCATCCTTGACCCTCACCCTCGTTTCCGCTCTCTCCCTACCAGGTACAGAGTTACCACACAGCACCCCTGTCACCTCCTCTGGCCTGGCTGTCCCATCATCTCCAACCATGCTCCATACTATGCTCCATGCTCCATGTCTTCCATGCCCATGCCATGGATGGGTCCCTGTCCCCATCCGCATCTGCTGCATCCACATCCACATCATCCACACCCACACACACCCATCCCACTCCCACCAACCTAGCCATCATGCATCCCATCCCGTCGTCGACCTGTGCCGCTAATATTATTATTCAAGGTACCCTGACAAGCCTGGTGTTGCTCCTCCACACAACACAAGTCCGTTGATCCCTGTCGGGTTCCCTTACCTTGGGCCTATTCCCTTTTCTTCTACATGCCTACACACATACCTGACTTAGATGCTATTTGACTTGCCTCGCCTGCTGCATCTTATCTACCCTTCTTGTCCCTCCTCTGTTGCTCGCATCTCGACCACCCTCCCCAACTTCTATTCTCGTCACGCAAATCACTCTTGTCAGCGTCGAGTCTTATCCGCCTATCCAAGTCTGCAAAACACCCACCAGGACAACACACACACACCATCTACCTTGCTGATACCCGTTCACCACATACATCCAACCCCCGAAAACCGGCACTCTTTCTGACCGCAACGTCCAGAACCGCAACTGTCATTGTTGGCTTGACTGCTTGAACAACGACGCACATGGACCGAGGGTGGCATTGTTAGTGCCCAGTGAACCGCGACATCTTGGTCTCGTTACTTTCTCTTCTTCAATACCGTTTATTCCAATTTGGATGTACGTCGACTCTGGACTTCAACTGCCATGCCGGACTACTGACACCACACGCCTGCGCCATAGTCTCTTCTGCAACCAACATACGCCACGCTCCTTTCGGTGCTTGCCGTCTACTGGACCTTGTCGTCAAGCTTTATCCTCACCCTTTTTTGCTCGCTCTTCTCTAGCTCTTGTATTCTTGATTTCTTGCTCTTGCATTGGATCCTCTTGGGAGCCACAGATCTCATTCTTGTAATTGGGAACTTCAGCAGTGAGCACCACCACTGCTAACGCACCTGTGCCGCGTTCGAAGCTCGAATGACACGCCATAGTCGGCCAACCGAGCATCGTACCACTTGCAAGCCTCGTCTGCGATAACGATAGTTGAGCACATCGTCTCGGCGGCTCCGTTGCTCTTTCTTCCGTCGCGCTTGTCCAACCTAGATTCGGACTCGGAGCCCCAGCAGCTGCCAAGTTGCATCTGGCAGGTACCACCCACCCACCCACCTGCCCGCACATACGACTTCTCCATCTCGGGCTCGAGCTGAGAATGGAAACTCCTTTCGCACCCCGAGAATACACCAGCACTCTCTCGGCCATGTATAGAGGCGACAATGGCCCGGCCCGGGGCCACGGCTTCGCCGGCCATTCGTCAGGCCTGTCACCCTCAACAGCTTCAATGCCTCTCTCGATTCCCAGCGCATCGAGCCTCGGCGACGTCCCACCTCCGCTCCCGCCGCCACGGTATGTGCCCGGGGCTGATGGCCCTCGCATGGAATACCGGGGACCACTGCGCCCTGACGATGACGACATACCGCATTACAAGAGACGGGACATGAGGGATGAGGGCTACCACAGCATTTCATCGACCAATTCCTCGCGAGGATTCGAACCCTTCCCGCCGCCAGCAGGGCGAGAGCCCTTGCGGCCACACGGCTTCGGCCTTCACCACAACCACTACCAGTTCAACTCGGGCGCGGATTCGTATGACAACGCCATGGTCAAGAGCTTTGACGTGAGGAGGGCACTGGATAACCGGTCACCACCACTACGTTCAGCTCTGAGCCTTTCTGCCCAGGACCCATCGACACGACCTCAAGAGCGCCTCTCCTTGCTGAAGCCGCTGTCCCTGCCGACCAGGGCCAAGCAACAGCCCACAACCGACTCGCCAAACCGATTACTCGAAACGCCACTGTCGTCCGCCGCCTCGCCCCTCAACCCTCCTCCCTTTGGACGGGCTGAGTACTACTCTCCGAGCGGTCTCATGGATCCCGACCGCTCACCACGAAGCGGGCGGGCGAATAGCGGCTCCATCCCGGACGATGCGACTGTGTCGAGCCGCGGCGATGGCTACTACAACGAGCAGGAGTTTGTCTCGGATGACAGGCTGAGCCGCTCCGAGTTCCAAGCAGTTGGGCATAAGCGGAGAGCTTCGTCCCCGGCCGGTGAACAGGCATCGGTTCACAGCATCCCATCACCTGGCGATAGGCTGAGACGCAATGAGGGCTTGTCGCGAGGATCGCCGACTCCCCGGCTTGCTGTTGTCCCTCAAGGGTCCACCCCAATGTCGTCTGGTACCCGCAATGGATCTTACGCTTCGGGCCTGTCACTGACAGCCAGCAACATGAGCAGCATGCACTCGTACAACCATGGGCGGAGGTCACCCGGTGGCCTCTCCCCTGGTGGGACCTCGCCCACTGACCAAAGCTCCAGCCACTCCCCGTATGAGACCGGCTCGCTCACGACATCACCGCGATCTTCCATTTCCACTGGACCTCACCACCGCACTCTGAGCGAGCAGAACCGCCAGGTCATGTCGCCTCGGAAGCTTCCAGACATGCTCAAACCCACTGCGTCAAAGATCCAGGGCTTTTTTATGTGCGACTGCTGTCCTAAAAAACCAAAGAAGTTCGAGACTGTCGAGGAACTCAGGTTTGTGCCATGTTGCCACGCGAATCATTTACGGGCATTTCTACTAACACAGTCTCCATTAGAATTCATGAGTCTGAAAAGCAGTATGAGTGCGCCTTCTGCGGCAACAGATTCAAAAATAAGAACGAGGCGGAGCGGCATCAAAGCTCGCTGCACCTGCGGAGACATAGCTGGTCTTGCTCCGCGCTCTCTGGCTATGACCGGGCATTCCACGCATCCACGTCGCGGCCAGGGGAAGCAGATACTTGTGGCTATTGCGGTGACGAGTTTCCGCGAAGTGGGCAAGCTCCGGGCCGTTCCATGGTCCGCCATGCTACCGACCAGGACTGGGAGGACCGCATTCGCCACCTGCAGGACGTGCACAAGTTTCGGGAGTGCAACTCGAGCAAGAAGTTCTACCGAGCCGATCACTTCCGGCAGCACCTCAAGCACAGCCACGCCGGTACCAGTGGCAAGTGGACTAACATGCTAGAGAACGCCTGCATGATGGAGGAAGAGCCTGCTGTGCCTCGCTCTCGCTGATTTCCCGACCGATCCGATCGCTTACGTTTTATGAGCCGAAGCGTTCTCTTGATCATGGGTCTTAACACACGGGTCACAACACATAAATCGGCATACTCAAAATGCGCATCTCTCTGAAAGATTGGCGTGGCTGACCTGGGCATGCAAAGCGCACAGTATCTGCGGGAAAGAGAGAGAGATGGGCGGGGCTTGGGGCGTCTTCCGCGCCTTTGGCTGCTTTCGGGCTGCGATGCGCATTCGGCGACTTTTCATTGCTATAGGCGATGGATGCAGGTCGCAATCGTCGGACAGCGAGCCGTTGAACAACTCATCACCGGGCTTTGCAGAATCCACCGCGAGAATGCTCCGCTGGCGCAATGCCGGCGTCGCTGCGCTCAGTGACCGGTCCTGCAGGGACAGCGTTTGAGTGATGCCGGGGTTGTGCCAGCAGGGGCAAGTTGGGGAGCTCTGCACATCCCCTCCAGCCACGGGATTGTTCCATTGGACATTTTCGGGGACGGTCCCTCTCTCCGTTGGGACATGAGAGCCCATGCGAAGGCACAGGGTCGCATCGAACCTTGCAATCTGCACCAGCACGGGACGTGAGGGGTTGTCTGCCGGGTTGGCCCTATCAGCGGAGCAGGCGACCGCTCTCGTGCATTGGAGTAGGGCCAGCAGGGCCAGCAGGGCCAATTGGGGCCGCAGCGGGTCAACTCAGCAACTGCCTTTTCCGCCGCCTTCTATTTTCCGCCGTTCTATTTTCTCTCACTTTTCCTACAGCCCGAGGCGTCAACCTTTTTTTTTGTCCCTGCGGATCGGCGGATCGCCACGCTTCCAGGGCTCGGTCCGCAGGGCATGTCCCTCCCGGCTTCTCCTCTTGGACGGGAGATGGCCGATCGATGTTTGATGTCCGTGCTATCTGGGCAGCTCCTCCGAAGCGGATTGGACGGGCGGTTTTGGGACGAGGTGCTCTCCCATCCGTGCCAATCCTGGACTGGAGGCGATGTCTCGCATTGGGTCGTTGTGGTCGAAGCCCGATCCCGCATGTGATGCGACTCGAAACGTTTCCGATACTACATGTGCTCTCCATTTGTTGTCAATTTACCGTTGGAGCGGTAGATGACTGCGAGCAATTCGTCCCTGCATGGGGGGTGTTCTGGAGGAGGAGTGGGGGAGGGTACTGATGGGGTGTCCCGTCCCGACTCTGCTGCTTGTGTTTTGCCCAAAAAGAAAATTTCGTGCGTTGTCTGTTACCATTTTTGCTTTGCATTTGGTTTTCTCTTTTCTGTTGCACAATACCCGTCTTCCAATGGGGGGGAGGAGGAGGTGCGCCACACACGAGGGTGCACCCTCGGGCACCCTCTTGGTGGGCACACGGACTTGATCTTTGCAGATGCCCGCACTGCATCCGGGCCGGATTGCGGTCATCACATTTACTCGGTTGATCACTTTGGTTGCTTACTACCTGGCATCTTGGAGTTTCTTTCATGGGGATGATGATCCATTGCCTGTTTTTGGTTTGCTCTGTTTTCATCTCATCCGCCTCTCGGCTCGAGGCCTGGCGCACAACTGGGTATGACATTGGGTTCTGGGATGTTGCTTTTGCTTGATCTTCCCCTGCATGTTGCAGTGGACGGACCATGAGTTGTCACATTGGGTGTGGCCGGAAGGCGTTTGCTCACTTTAGCAAGGGTTCATTTATCCAGTCAAACGAGATGCACGCGTTGGGGAGGGAGGTGCATACCGAACGGACGGCATACATAGCTTGAGATGGATGTAAGATATCAAACATGCCTTGGGAGTCGGGAGGGGAATAAAGAAATGGCCTTCCGAGGGAGGAGGGGGCCGCTGCTGTGGCACGCAGGAGAAACGGCAGCCCTCTGCTGTGAAACGACAATACCTGCTTAGTAAATGATCATAGGCGGAATAACACTTGATGATTCGGACTGAGACACATATATTGCATGGATGGGGCAAGACAAAGAAGAAGACCCCGGTGCTTTTCCAATGCGTGACTCGGATACACTCGCCCCATGCATGGCCTGTCGCCCTTCTGCTGCGGCACACTTGGTCAGACTCTCTGCTGTTGCGAAACGTCACGCGGTTGCAGATTTTCGAAATATGGAGGATCATCAGAAATCTGCTCATGGATCAACACTAATGCCGGCCTCGACTCATCAACGATCAGCCCTGTCCAAAGCCGAACGGATGAGTAACTACCTACAGTACAGTACTAGGCAAGGTAGTGTAGGCAGATCGATTCGATGGGCCGGTGTCACCTGGGCCAGGACAGCCCTACCGCGCCGTTTTCGGCAGCCAGCAGCACCTCCAGGGCTGCATGGCCTTGGAAAGACGGCCTTGGAAGGCTGACCTGCCGGCCTGGTGGGTGGTGTCGGGCCAGGCGTAGGGCTACGCACGTCCGGGTCGGCTGTTTTTCTAGGTAGTGTTCTAGAAGCCCTCGGCAGTGTCTGGTGGCGATGTCATGTTAGTGAGAACCACACTGTCGTACGCGGGCGGGGTTGCAGGCGCTGGAGCCCTTGAGCTTCGCAGCTGGCGAGCAGGTGCCCCGCCGGCAGCCGCTAAAGAGAGAAAAATACACTTGCGCCAACGACAGGCGCAGAATACCACGGAATTGCACCAGATTGACAACATTGTTGCCTGCCACTCTGTGAAGAGAACACGTAACTGAGCGGCAGAGGGACAGCAGGATACACCCCTGAAGGGACGACTTTCATTCCGGCCGTGCATCCCGGCTGCCCACTGAGTGAGGCTTGCTCCAGGCCGCAAAGCGGATTGCGGGGCTGCACAACATTTTGAACAGCCGAGGCTTACTGGCTGCCATCTCACATCGGGCCAAGGCTGTCTGTGTGGCGGACGACTCAAATACAGCCGGAGAGGTACGGGCTGTAGCACTCATCACACCACTGCATCGCAATCACCAGGCCTGCCGTGACCGCATAGAGACGACGATGTCGCTGGACAGGGTTCCGGGCAGGGAGGACCTCTACATCGGCGGCATCTTCACGCTGCGCAGGGCAGACACCCTCCAGGCTCACCGCATCACGCACATCCTCTCCGTCGTCGGGTACTCGCTCGAGAAGTGGTCCGACCTGCGCGGCAAGTTCGTCCATCTCAGCATCGACATAGACGACGTCGAGGACGCTGACCTGCTGGTCCACCTGCCCAAGTGTGTCAGGTTCATCGAATCGGGCTTGTATCCCGACTCCGGCACCCGGGTTGGCGATGCCGAGGTGACAGACGCGGACCCTTTACCCTCTCTGGGCAAGGGCGATGCAGCCGCCAAGCTCGAGCAGCTGTCGCTCGCCGCCACCAGCGGCCGCGAGAGCAACAGCCCAGGCGCCGTCTTTGTGCACTGCGCCATGGGCAAGTCGCGCTCCGTCACAGCCGTAATAGCCTACCTGCTGTGGAAGCACCCCCACCGCTTTGGCTCCCCCGACCGGCGCAACCCGGACAGGCGCGCCGCCGCCAGGCAGGCCGTCGCGCGCGCGCTCGAGCTCGTCAAGGAGGCGAGGGAGCTCGCCGAGCCCAACGACGGCTTCATGCGCCAGCTCGAGATGTGGTGGCTCATGGGGTGCCCCGCCGGCGGCGACGACGCCGTCGAGAGGCACCCGGTCTACCGGAAGTGGCTGTACCAGCGCGAGGTGGAGGAGAGCGCCAGGATCGGGCGGGCGCCGGACTGGCTGCGCTTTGAGGACGAGGAGGAGGGTGGTGGTGGTGCTGCTGATGGTGGCCAAGAGGAGGATGTGGAGGAGGGGGAGGAGAGCGCAGTCAAGAGCGGCAGGCCGAATACGGAACTCCGCTGCAAGAAGTGCAGGAGGGTGTTGGCGACGCAGCCCTTCATCGTCACGCACGAACCCCTCGACGCCACCAGCAAGCAAAAGGGCCCCTGCCAGCACGTCTTTATCGAGCCGCTGTCCTGGATGAGGCCCACACTCGAGCGCGGCGAGCTCGAGGGCCGCCTCGTCTGCCCCAACGCCAAGTGCGGTTCGTCCATCGGCCGCTACGCCTGGCAAGGGTTCAAGTGCACGTGCCGGGAGTGGGTGTGCCCGGCGTTTAGCCTGCAGAGGAGCAAGGTCGACGAGGTCACGGTCCCGGGGACCTCCACCTCGGGGAGCGGCGCAGCAGCGAGGAATGGGCGCGGCGGCGGTCGCGTCGGCGGCGATATCAGCGTGGACGCCCGGCAGAGAGCCGCGGCAATGGGGATTAGGATGCCGCCTGGCTTCAGGAAGGAGAACCTATGACTATGATGTGATAGAGGGTGGGTACTGGGCGACCAGAGTCCGAACGACTAAAGTGCTTGCTATTGCTGCCATTATGCATCGGCAATGCGCGTGACGACATGGTATGACGTGCTGCACGGCGAAGAGAGTGGCTAGCGGCGGCCGCCCCTTGATACTACTTTGGGGGGATGACTACGAGTCTCTCGTGTGTGTGTGTGTGTGTGTATTGTGTGCGCGCGCAGGCAAATCTCAGGGCAACCCCCAAAAGTCCGTCTCGTCACTGCTGCTTCATCTGCTCGGCCGGAGAATTACGCGAAAGACACCACTTCGTTGGCGCCTGTCAGTCCATCGTTGAAGGTCCCTTATTCTCCGCTGCTTGCAGGCCAGACCATCAGACCATCAGATCGACAATAGCGACACGGACGGGGAGGCGGGTGCCCGCCCCATCCATCTCACCTAACCCAAGCATCCACGCCGTCAGCACGAGCCGCCGCCTGACTGCACCGGGCCTTGTACGCCCCTAGCGCTTACAGGCCCCGTGGTGGACTCAACACACCATCTTGCGACGCACCCCGCTGTTCAAACAGAGGAGGAAAAGCCTGTTTCTAAAAGGAATATATGGAATTCGCAGAGAAAGCCGATATCCATCCACATCAGGAAGAGGGTGTGCGGCGTACGGCGTTTCGGCCTACGGCGCAGTAAGTGGATGCCCCCGCCTGTTCGCCGATGACAGTGGGGATGGCTCGGGACCGAAGAGAGTGGCGGGGGGGGGGGGGGGGGGGGGGGGGGGGGGGGGGGGGGGGGAGGGGGGGGGGGGGGGGGGGGGGGGGGGGGGCGGGCTTGCTGATGCCTTGTCTTACTGTTTGAGGTGATAATTTGGGGTCGGCCGGGGCTGGATCAGCGTGTTGCTCGGTATGCTTGCTTTCTTTAGACCACTGCCTCCAGTCTCATCCTTTGGCAAGGGGCACGTTGATGACGAGAAACGACTTGTCAGGCTCGTAAAGCGATTCATGACTGACGCTCCAGCTCGTGTAAGCATGTCTCGGATGCGTTTTTGGCATAACTGGTTGCCTAGTGGGCCTCCATGTAGGCGTCAGTGGCGGCCTTTCGGAAGTGAGACTGGCGCTGTTTGGATGTGATAGAGGGGAGGAACACAAGACAAATCAATAATTCCCATAGCAACTAATGTTGTTTCCCTTGCTGACATGCATAACGCCTCCGGGATTATCCAGAGACGGAGGGGGAAAACCTGGGCTTGTCAGATTTCATATAGCCTAGCTGGGGGCCTTGCTGCGCGGATACCCGCTTCTGGCATTAGTTTATTGTTAGGCAATATAAGTCCATTTGAGAGACGTGATCGCATTCTGTTGACTCATCCAATGAGACAAAGTTGGTTAGTTGTTGACACCTTCGTGTAAACAAGGCTCGCGATCGATCTCTGTACAACCAAGGCAGCGTCTCCACTCATCCCTCCACCACCAGCCTTTGACGGTAAGAATATCTGCCCGATCCAGGTAAGCCAAATACTTGGAGATCCTCTTGTCAAGGGACGGCACGTTATTGGGGGGGCGGAAGGTATTTGTACATGCAGATTCCGTATCGAGTTAGCTCTTCAGGAACGGCAAGGATTTGATGGGGTTCACCCCTTGTCAACCAGTTCCTTGCCTCTTGAAGGCAAAGCTGTCATTCATCAGCATTACACAAGGCTGAGGTAACACACGAAGGATCCTCGGCGTTACAGATCAGAGAGCAATACCCTGGGAATTACCCAAGCTTCAAAGGATCAACTTAGTTTTGCGGGGGTCGTAACTGAACCTCTCAGGAGAAGATCCGAATCCGAGCCCTTCCACCCCCACATCATTTGCACTTGGCGAAAGGCAACAGCAAGATGACCAAGAGAAAGGATCGCAGTCCCTGTCTTGATCCTTGCCCTTGCCCAGCTAGAACAGCGCGAACGGACTTCCGTCCGGAAAGGCTCTAGGACGACGAAGGCCCGCACGGCAGGACCACTCTGTCGGGCCCGGAGCAGTTGACCGCTCTTGGACCGCACGGTCAGCAACACCGAAGTCTAAGCAGGCAGGCAGCGAGATAACATGATAAGAATCGGGGATAGAGCGGCGCATTTCATGGTAGTTAGCTCGCACTATCTTGCCTGTTTTCGATAAAGCTGTGGAGATCACCCAGCTTACCTGCCCTTCCGAGGCGTTTTGTTATATGACTCCTCCAGATACTTGCACCTCTTCCCAACTCACAAGGAAAGTTCCGTCTATCCCATGCTGAGCACTGTCCGGGAGTCTAGTCTAATTACGGGATGGCCTGACCTTGTCTCTTGAACCCCAGACGGGCAATCTTGTCAGCATCGCGGCACGAAGGGTCGCACCCGCAGCCGACTCCACCCTCGCAAGTCAGGGTCCCCCATGCTTTTACACATGGCATCTTTGACTTCTTTGGACTTAAGTTTCGACTGGCAAGGCCCTCATGGTACCTACCCCCTACCCTCTCCACGCGGGCGCCAACCTAGGCTCAAAGAAGGCAATGCTTAGAGCCGAGCTTACTTCTTCAAGCCTCGCTTGTCCCCGAGGAAGCGAGAGCAAGATGCGGGCCCCCCTAGATGACGAAGTTGGCGTCTCATGATCCATGCTGTTCGTCTTCTCCTTCTGGGGTGACCATCCTCTTCAAGTCAGGTTATTCCCGGGATAAGTTGAAGGGGCCTTTTGGGACTTGCCGGATATGGTTGCTTGCGAGGGGTGGTGCACTTGACTTAGTTATGCGCGAGAAAAGCGCGAGCGAGGCGTCAAGACGGTCCGGAAAGCCAAGGGACACCAGAGTCTCGCGATCCACGGGCCACCATTTGCCTTTGTACGCAAGTAAGCACAGCTGAGGCACAAACCAGCCAGAGGGGAGGATAGAAAGGCAGAAGAGTAAGCACTAGCCCTGTTCAGGTGACCAACGCGACGGCAGTCGTATTGGTCCCCCAATAGGTACTCTTCTTTCTCTCTATCTTTTTCCCTTGTCCATCATCCATTTTCCCTCTTCCCCCGCGTACTGCTTGCTGATGGGGTGTGCGTGAAACGATAGCTGTCCACCTCACACACTGGAGAAGGGGGGTGATGCCCGTTTCGCACACCACCACCACTACAGCTTCTCATAGCCGATGTGTGATCGATTCCCACCCTTTCAGAGGAGAGGGCCGGGGGGGGGTCCCTTGATCCCTCTGGCAGATCAGATTAGTTCGCAGGGACAACCCCGTCAGAAAAGAAAGTTAGCCAGCTCCGCAAGGGTACTTTTGCGCTGATGGCGGTAGCGTGTGTGTGTGTGTAAGACTTTCGATTCGTCTAGCTCGGACGGCTTACGGCTCGTTCCCGTCAGACTAAGAGTCATGTGATGAGAACGGATGCAGCAGAGAGGCACGCCCTGTCAGCAACACGTTAGTTTAAATGGTCTGTTATGAAACAGAGTTGTGCAATCTGTGGCTGTCATAGGGCTGGCTGGCTGACTGAACTGTGGAATGAAATGTCCGAGAAAAAGTAAGCATGATCAGTTTCGTAAGGCGTATATCGACAAACTAATACGTAGCATACAGACATATGTACATACACATATACATATACATACATCTATGTACGTACATAGCACTGCCACCGAAAATCCCCGCCTGCGGATAAGACGGCACTGGGCTCTTTTCAGCCCTTGCAGCCTCTCGCAGAAATTTGCTGTAAGGAGCAGCCTGTTGCAGACTATAACAGTGGTAAGTCTTGGCAGACTGGAAGTTGTGCAAAGGTCGCCGGATGTCCACGAGGGCCATACCGGCCGTTCCAATCACAGGCCGGCCAGCGTAAACGGGAGGGCCACTTTCAGATCATATCGAGAGAAAAAAGTGCCTTTTGTGCCACAGGCGCTAGCGAACGCATGTAAGAAACGAGGTGTCAGAGATGATGCATCATGCCGCAGTAGCAGCAACAACCGCCTGTCTGTCCTGCAGGAATGGAGTGATGTTGTACTCTCCAAGCACAGGCATTGGCGTTCTAGATTGACATGCAACACCCTGTCTCCGAAGACGCGTGCCATCGGCTCGATGTGAGAGAGCGAGGGGACAGGAAGGTCACACACATATGCCAATACGCAGATCCCGAAGCTGGGGCCTTGTGCCAAAATATGCAGGCGACAGCGAGAACGGATGTGTCTCTGTTTGATTCGATCTAATCATCAGCCGATGCCCTATAGGGCCAGACGGGGTACATGGAGGGTACAATGCGGCCCGTGTCTTGCTTGTACCCGGAATGTTGTCTGCACGAACAGTGTGGCCTTTGGGGTTCGCTTGATGCGGGAATATTGCACGAGGAAGAGACAGTGAGTCCCATTAGGCCTACTGCCTCGCTCACATTCCTTCGTGTTCGTATAATAAGTATAGTCGTACACAGGCCGCCGTGGGACCTGCGGAGTGCTGCGGCACTCCGCAGCAGCCGGCTACCAGAAAAAGAGTATGGCTTTTCCTCCGCCGGCGACTTCTGGCGGCCGGCCGGATTTAAGACTTCTGACGGTCCGAAGCCAGGATGGACCAAGCGGCCCGAAGTACTCCGGTTGCCCTTGATGCCCAACGCAAGAGAAGCAGAGTTGGTATGTGGTGCTCTCAAGGTAACCCTTTGGGGACGGACGGGAACAACGAGGGGTTCTGCAGCCGTTCTCTGTTCCGTTTTGAAATCTCAGCTTGCCTCTTCTTCTCGAGACGCTGGCTGTAGAAAGTTCTACGGTAGAGTTAGCAAGCAGAAGAAGAAGTCGATGTCGGATATCAGAGTATATTTGCAAGACTATACAGCGCGGCCCATCCATGACTTGCCTTTGCAGTGCAAACACCCTTGGCTCCTCCTCGGGCGTTGGTGAATCTGTCGGAGATGCTTCCTGTCAGGACAGACTAGTCAGTTTCTTTCCCAAGCTCTCAATTCTTCGGAGTTGACTTGGTCATGAGAGGGAGAACACGCATACCTTGTCCTTGTCCTTGGACTTGTCGTCGCTCTTCTTCTCATCATCCTTCTTGTCGTCCTTGCCTTTCTCCTTGTCCTTGTCTTTATCCTTTTCGGCGTCCTTCTCCTTCTTTCTCCTCTGTTTCTCCTCGTACTCCTTTTTAACCCGCTCCACCTCCTCGGCCATCTCCTTCTTCTTCTTGGCTTCCACGGCGGCCTGGTCTATGATCGGGCTGCAGAAGCCGCGGTCTTTCAGGTGGGCAGGGCACACATAGAAGAAGTCCTGACGAGGCGGCCGATATTACATGTGTCAGCTTTATGAACTGAGAAACAACCGTGATATACGCTCAACACCCAGGCTCCCTATGTGTCTCTCTCACACACTCACTGACCTGTTTCTCGGGCGTGATGAGGACGCTCGTGCTCTGCTTGTAACAAATGTCGCAGCTGCGTGCCGCCGTGTCGGCCACCTTGCGGTGGGTGTAGATGTTGGGAAAGGACATGATGACTACGTATATATTCGGAGAGCTCGAGGTGTCGGCCAACTCATTCCCTCCAAACCGGCCCTGTCTTGTCTCATCGGTGAGTGAGTTTGATGTTGGGGGAAAGCGACGCCCAATGGTGGGGCTAGAGAGCGGTGGTCGCAGATATGTGCGATTTCGATATATGCACTGTAATATTGGCACTGTAAACGGTGCCGTATGATGAATGAGACTCACGATAGGAGCGGGTGTCCGCGCAACTGACAGAGTATAACAAGTGTCTGGAGTTTCTTAGCTGTGTCCGTTCAAAAAGTCAAAGGCTATCTAGCAAGCCGAAACGGCAGTAAAGAGCGGATATGCAGGCAAGATGTATTGAAACTTCAAGGCATGGCAGTGCCATCGAGGGCCTTGCGATCTACTCTTCAACGACAATATGAAGTGCCAGATAGTCAATCATCAAGGCTTTATACTCTGTACTCTGTATCAGCTTCAGGAAACAGTTCCACATCTTTGAGCTCGTGATCCGCCTTCCCATGAAATCTTCGTCCGTTCCGTCATGATTCCTGAACCATCCATATGTGACCTAATACCTCATCGCTGTGTCTCATTAACATCGTAGCCTTCCTCTGTGAAATCAAAGTGACCAACACGTCTTCTCGCTGTTCTTATGCTGCTAAAAGCCTTCTAATCACATAGCAGGGCCATCCCAGTCCTCTCTCCGCAGGCGTCCAAGCCAAGACTGCTTGTGCGCAAAAGCGACTTCCCTTTCCTTGACAAAGCCCGCGAACTGAAGATGCTGAATAAATCTACGATATCAAAAACATGGTCAGTTTCTCAACGCTCCTTGTTTCGAGTCTCGAGGAAAGGGGTATATCGGACTCACCTGGCATTATCAACTCGCGGCTCACAGCACACGCTCATTGTCCGGTTGTCCATGCACAGCAATATGTGAACCAAACTGGACAGCCACGACTGCACCCGACCCCTGGCCCATTCCTCGCCGATCAAGACGTGGAAACCGCGGTCAAAGTCGGCCGCGTCACTTCCCATGAACCTTCCCAGCAGATCTTCCTTGACCCAGTAGACCTCAAAATAGCCAAAGGGAACGCCGTCCCACAGGCCGATGACGGGGAAGCTATGGCGCGACTGAAGCGCGTTGGTCAGGAAGTTGGGTTGGTAGTTGCCCCAGAACTTCTGGACTCGCGGATTGCCGAGCCACATCTGCAAGAGAGAGGTGTCGCTGAGGGTGGACAGGTGTGTATGCTCTGGCGGTTTGGTACCGACGGGCCCCAGGTAGGGCACAGGCTTGTTTGAAGCCGAGGCCACGCGGAACGCGAGATATTGGTTGACAGAGGGGACGAAGCGTGTGTAGAAGACCTCGCCCATGCGCGGAGGCTTGGGCCGGATGGGGTGTCGCACGTGGTTCGTGATGGTGTATTGCAACGGGGGCGGCGGGTAGTAGGTTGGAAGGTGCGAGGTCGAGAAGAAAGGGCCGATGGGAAAGGTCGGGGCGGAGGTGAGAGTGGTCGGCATGGGAGCCCCGGGCATGTCGGCAGCGGCAAACTGTGTCTGCGACAGATGCGCGCCGTGCAGGCTGCCGTGCGGAGAGTTGGACTCGATGCTGCGAACCGGCGAGCTTGGACGGCTGCCGATGGGAGATCCGGGGTGTGACTTGATTTGCGGCTGCAGCGTGAAGAGAAACAGGCGGCCGGGAGTCTGCCAGAAGACCTTGCGGCTGACGAACATGCGGCCCCAGCCCTCGTTGTCGCCCATGGCCGTTCCTACTGCGGAGTCCTGGCTCATGATCAGGCCCATCCTCTCGAGCTTCGGGATCAGGTTTCGCCCTCGCAGAACGCCATCTCTCTTGATATTGATCCTCCAGTCCCCTCTCGGCCGTCCATTCTCGGGTGTGTATCTGGACTGCTCTGTCAAGGGCAGCAGTTTGGAGGGCTCGGGTTGGTGGAAGTACCAGTACAGCGTGACCCAGAGCATCATGGCGATCTGGCGCGTGGGGCTCGTGGCAGGCTTGAAGTCGCTGCTGCTGGGGTTGCTGATGGAGCTGATGAAGAGGCTGTCGTTCTGGAGCGTGGGCTTGGTGTATGAGTGGATGTGGCTTGTCCGCTTTGGAACCTTGGGCCGTTCCGGTTCCATGTCGACATCGTTGTCGCCACTGGCATCGCCGTCGGCGCCTCTGCGGGGTTGCGGCTCGGTGTCATGTTCTTCTTCCACCTCCTCGGTGTGGAGGACGACGGTCCAGCCGATGGGAAAGGCTGAAGCGTGCGTGTTGAGTTCGTGTGACTTGAAGAAAAGACCGGCAAATACTGGGGTGACGGTAAAGTGCTGCCCGTCGGGCAGGTGAATGATGGAGGGGGCCATGGCCGCGGGGTGCGGGGGCGTGTTCTCTGCGTATCGGGCTTCGCGAGCCCCAGTTTAGGGTCGAGTATCTGTAATTGAGGTGTTGAGAAAGTCCGGACGGCGGTCAGGGCCGAGCAAGCGACGGTTTGGAGGGTACCAAGGTTGTTATCGGCCGGGTCATCAAGAATGAGAAAGATGTAGCCGACCAGTTTTGAACAGTGAGTGGAATGCGGGGCCGTTATCGATCATGTACTTGGCGGCTAGGCACAATTCATTCAGGATAGAGCTAGAGATTGAAAGGTTGTCATCCGATATCGAGTGGTAGGGGAAGCAGTGCCGGCAGGTCTCTGCTCTGCCAGAGTGCCCTTAAGTACGGGAGCGAACGGCGGGATCGCGCATCTCCGGAGGCGCGTTGAGAAATGGAGAGAGCTGGAGACGTTGCAAATTGCCGACTACCTGCCTACCTAATGTGGGGTGAAGGCGGGAAGGCGGCTGAGGCAGGAAGCAGCCCTTGGAGCATTTGATGGTGGGGTTATCATGACGGAGCTTCCGAGCTGGTGTGGATCCGCAAGCCGAGAGCCGGGATCCCCCAGTGCCACCCCTCATCAGCGCCGTTCAGCACTCGCTTCGCTCTCGTTCCGCCAACCACAGCGCCTGCAATAGCGCCTTCTTGACCAAGATTGAGTCCACGGGTGTCCATGACGCGCTACCGTCGCCTGTAACACCTCACTAGTAAGGCGCTACAGCGCGCACGGGCGCACTGGCCAGCGCCTGTCAGTGCCAATCTCCCAAGGCTGACCAAGAAACAAAAAGAAGTAACACCACCTCCGCATGCACAATCTCATGATCTGATCAAATGCTTCCAGAAAACAGTCATGGAACGACGACCTCCCGCGATTCCGCGATCACGCTCTCTCGCTAGTTTTTCACGCTTCATATGTACTAGGCCCGACCGGTCAAGCTATTAGCCCAACAATCCCAGGATTCGGAGAGGCGCCTCGATTACAGACCAAAGCAAGAAAAAAAGAATGCAACGCTTTACACAATACATGCAGGTGGTCGTGTGCTCTCCCCTGACCGGCCGTCTTGGCTATCGATTTACATGGTTCCTAGTCCAGTCCCAGGCGCATATCTCCGAGCCCAGCCAACGCCGCCGCTTCCGTGTATCCCCGGATGATGATAGTCTTGTTGCATAACAGGAACCCGGGTGCTGAGTCTCCCGGAAAGGGTATCGTGTATGTGTTAATGTGACGTGCGCGCGCGCGTGTGTGTGTGTGTGTTTCGGTACCTTCCCGCGTGTTGCGACCTCCTTGCTCGGCGAATCATTCTGACTCCTTCTTCTCCTCCTTGCTCTTCTGCTCCTCCTCTTCCTTCTCCTTGTCCTTCTCCGTCTTGGATCTCTCTTCCTCCTCCGCCTCCTCTTCGTCGTCTTCGTGCCGGCCGTTCTTCTTCTTCTCCTTGTCCAGCACTTCTTTCACTTCTTCTCCCCCCAGATCCTTGGTCTCGTCCCAGTCGACGTCGTACTCGCTGGCCACCGTCTTGACCTCCTTGCGCAGGGCATTGGCCTCCTGCACCAGGTTCTCCCACTTGTGCAGGTCGAAGCCCCTGCTCTCGTACAGCGCATTCTGGCGCCTGGACACGGTGATGTTCATGGCGGCCTTGTAGCTCAGGTCGCGGCTGATGTAGAGAAACCACAGGTAGCCGCCCATGATGGTCGTCAGGCCTGCGAGGTAGGTGATGGGCTCGACGAGGTCCCATCCGAACTCGGTGTGGAAGGTCACATAGTAAACGATCCCCCACCAGGCCGACAGCATGGCAAACCCACCCTTGGCTAACGTGTGCGCGCTCTTGTGCGCGAGCAGGTCGCACTCGGTCTTGATCCTGGACAGCTCCTCGATCTCCTTGCTCATGCGCCGCAGCCGCAGCCGCATGTAGTAGGTCCGGTCACTGAAGCTGGGTACGCCGACTCGCATCTCGAGATGGTAGCCCTCGACCTCGATGGCAAATTCACGGCCGCGCGCGGCGTCACGGATAAAGTCGCCCATCTCGGTGCTGCTGCTCCAGCGCACCCAGTTCTTTTCCGAGTCCTTGCGATCCTCCTCGGCTTCATGACCGAGGCCAGAATACGAAGCGACGTGCGGGCTGGACGGACCTTTCTTCTCCTTGGCCCTGTCGGTGGTTGTATCCTCGGCACGGAAGTAGATATTGGGGATCTTTTCCCTGCCATCCTCGAGGACTGGGGGGAGCTCGGCCTGGATCAGACGCTCGACGTAGGAGAGGGGCTGTTGGGGATGAATGAGGAGCGCAAGCGGTTGGATGTCGTCATTGACAGATATGGAACGCCCGTACTCCTTGCTGTTATTGTCCTTGTCTTTCTCGATGGCCAGGGGCAGTGGGAGGATGAGCTTGAGCAGGCGCGTGGGCGTAGTCAGGAGCTTCCCTAGATTGCATAATTAGCCAATACTTCCAAGCAGTGTGTGGCGAATTGGAAGGCCTGATATTGCCTGTTACCTTTGGCCATGGGATTGTTCTGAGCCGGCTGGTCTGCGGGAGGCTTGTCGGCGTTCTCGCGAAGCCAGGGCCGCTTGACCTGGTGCTGCCGAAGCTTCACATCTTTCTCGTGGTCGTCCAGCCCCTTTTGATTGAGTTCCTTGGCTTTTCGCTCGGGCTCGTCGAGATCCTTCTTCCTCCAGATCGCAGTACCGGTGAAAGGACGTGTTCGGGTCTCAACGGCAGCTAGACGCCAAGGTATGGGTCGCCAAGGACTGGGTGCAGCGAGTGTTATTGGAGCTGGGGCTGCCGGGGCGGACAGTCGGCACAGCTGTGTAGACAGCCGCCTAGAAGCATGGTTCATTGCGCGACGGTGCTCGAAAGCTACTGTTCTTCGGTGTGAGACGCGGAATGACTGTTCCCTCCCCAGCTGGTGCTCAGAAACAAAGGATGAAGTTCAGAGTCCATGACGGACGGTCGCGATTCTCGCAAATTTCTTGGCATTGGTGCGAGAATCACTGACGTCACGGAGGCACCCACGCGCCCAAAGTGGCTCCCCCTGGAGATTGCAATAGCACGGGCGATTAGCGCCCAAGCCGGGTTGCTTTTGGGGCTGACACAGCCACGTAGCACGTGTTTGACAGGCCATCGAAGGCTAAAGCACAGCTGAGAGCAACTGGAACTTCGAAGGCCATTCACGATCCGGGGCTGCCGTCCCCGATGGCGTCACGTCACCTTTGCATTGTTGTGTGCTCTGTAGGGCTAGGCATAGAAGTCGGCTGAAGGACATCCGAAGACGAGATTGGCAATGTGGCGGCTATGGGCCGTGGCCATGGCCATGGCTGAAGGTCACCAAGTCGCGTGGTCGTCTCCCCCTGAAGTGCATTCAATGGCCTCTACAGGCTTTGCGGTGCTGCCGACCACAAGGACACTGTGGAAACATTGAAGGCAGAGAATGGCCTGAGTACAACTAGGTGGGATGGCTGTGAGACCGCCCTGCCGGAAGTGAGTGAGGGGGAAACATACGACCGAAAACGCGGGGCCGGCCATTCATCGGCAGATGAATTAGGTCCGCCTAACACAGGAGCTGTGGGTGCGCGGCTTGGCTGGACGCTTGGAGGTCAAATTCATGGTCCGAACGAGCGAGTGGTTTATCCGTTCTGCAGGACGGATTGAGACTCATCTCAGGACAGGATATTAGGATATCAAAGATCGCAACAGACGTGTGACGTGCATCCTGTTGTTCCAGGCTCGACTAATCAAGATTCTCAATCCCACGGGCACAACTGACTGCTGCTGCCATGCCGAGCGACGCGCCCCATGGCGGCGAGTACCGCCAGTTTCTCCCCGATCTCGGAATCCCCAGGTTCACAACCATGAAGACGCAGGACGCCCACGTCTACGCCGAGGCCTTCAAGAAGGGCGGCAACCCGCCATGGCTCCACGCGCTCTACATGTTCTGGCTGCAATTGGTCAAGGAGCCATTCAAGGGCGTCACAAACGATGGTATGAGGAACCCTCCTTCACTAGACAGAGACATGTGTTGACGCTTGTGTCAGGAACTGTGCGCCCTGGTCTGTTTGAGCTCCAGGATGAAGGCGTGCCCGTGCAGGACATCGTCAACGCCGTCGGGGCGCTGAACGGCGACCTGAACCAGGACCAGCTCCTGCGCCTTACCTATCACATCGACTCGCCCGAGTGGAGGACTTGGTCTAACCCCGAGTTCCTGCTCAGCGACAAGGGCATACGCCTTGATGAGCTGTCCCCCTCCACGCGCGACAAGGTCATGAAGGTCATCGAGCTCAGTCTATCTCCCGAGGGCTACGCAAAGGCCGTCGGTGCCATGCGCATCAATGGCTTTCTCGGCGAGCTTGTTGAGTCCCCTGCCGTCATGAACGAGTTCTCTTACAACTTCGTCATCTTCGGCAAGCCTTCAGCCACCGAGCCGTGGGGATTCTCGTTCTATGGCCACCATTTGTGCTTGAATATCTTCTTTTACAAATCCCAAATCATCGTCTCCCCGTGGTTCACTGGCGCGGAGCCCAACCTCATCGACGACGGGCCGTACAAGGGCACCCGTATCCTCGAGGAAGAGGAAAGACTCGGTCTCCAGCTGATGCAGAGCCTGCCGGCCGAACAGCAGTCTCGCGCCCAAATTTACAAGCTCATGAAGGACCCGGCCATGCCGCACGGCCGCTGGAACCACGACGACCAGCGCCATATGTGCGGCGCCTACCGCGACAATCGCATCGTCCCTTACGAAGGAATCCTGGTTTCCGAGATGACGCCTGGACAGCAAGACATTGTCATGGGTATCTTGAACCAGTACCTCCTGTACCTGCCGCAGAGGTCAAGAGACATGCGTCTCGCACAGATCAAGTCGTGGTTCCACGAGACCTACTTCTGCTGGATCGGCGGCTTCGGCAACGAAGACCCCTTTTACTACCGCCTGCAGAGCCCCGTCATCCTGGTCGAGTTCGACCACCACTCTGGCGTGTTCCTGACCAACAGCGAACCCGCCAAGTTCCACATCCACACCCTGCTGAGGACCCCCAATGCCGGCGACTACGGCATGGCTGTGCGGCCGCTGATACCGGGTGTCAAGCAGGAATTTGTGTGGGAGGGCTGAGGTCAGCACAGTCTCTATAGACACCCATAATAGACAAAGGATGCCCAAAACAACTTCAGCGAACTGTCTAATATGAGCCTTTATATGTGTTGCAAGCCCTCGCGATACATCCTGGGGGTAAATGATGGTAAAGGTGAAGCCAAGGTTGTTATTAGACGGCGTTTCCCTCCCCAGAGCTACTAAGCTCAAGTTCAGTGAATATAAAAACGCATCTCATTAATTGAAACCCCAATGAACGATCATGTCTCCGCATCTGAGCTCAGCTGGGTAAGCCGATAAGTGAACTATTGGCACTCGCACGGGCTCCTTCAATATACAGACACGGCAAACACGAGTGTCGATCAAAAGCCATACGGAAGGTCGGTGCACTCAGTGCTTGTTTCTATATAGGATTACTCTTGTTGATATCAAGAGTTGAGTCTTGGCTGTCAATCAGGATTGCTATTGTAAGAATCACCTGCTCTCCTTTCGAGGGCTACAGAGAACATCACTCGGCCCTAGGATTCGTGGCTCGTGCCGTTCCGTAACGTTCTGGGACGTACACTGAGCTGTGGGATGCTGAGCAGCATGGGGATCTGCGAGCACAGCGGCCAACCATTGCATAGCTGCCGATGCACTGTTCCCAGCTTCCTCGAGATGGGTACCGACAGAGTTCCTGTGGTAAAGGACATCGACTCCCATATGGCAGCATTGCCCCATCATCGCATCCGTCTGAGAAACCTTGCTGAGTTCGTCCTGTATTGTCATGTATGATAGTAACGGCATCCGGGGCAGACCATGGTAGCCCATGATGCCATCGCGATTGAACAATTCTCTCATCACGGGTGAGGCCAAGGCTACCATCCAGTTCTCAAAGTATTCATCAATGTCTTTAGAGGCGTATCACACACCAGCCGTAACGACGTCCAAATCTTGCGCGGCAAGAAATCCGGTCTTTGTTGTATGGCCCGGAAGTCTTGAGCCCCGAGAGTAGTCACTCCCAAGCAGCGGGATACTGGCTATTGTAGAGACTGTAGCTCGGGCCCGCGTCCAAGACGAGGAATCGGTGAGCTGGGGGGATGCTAACAAGGCGGATTGGTTGAAGGTGGTTTGTGCGATGCTGTTGGAGCCGAGTTGTGGCACAAGGAGAGTGGTAGCATGGCCAGGTCGGCGTATACTGGCTATCGGTAGTCCGGAAGAGGATATGGTATAAAGCAGACGTGCTCCCGATGGCCTTAGACAGATTTCCTGGAGCGACACGTACGCACATGACAGTTCCTGGCTTAGTATTCTCATATCCAAGTGGTGCAGTGTACCACGGGTCCCGGCTCGGTGGCACAGGTCCCGCACAGGTTGATGCTCTCTTGCGGAGTTGACAGGCTCGGGACCGGGGCGCTGCGATCGAGAGACCGAGCCAAAGACAGGTTGAAGCACAAAGACACGATAGAACAGGAGGCCACTCATGCTGCCGGGAGTAGAGTCTCTTGTGTTGACATAAGGCAAATACAGAACGAGTGAAGCCATTCCCGATCTTCTATCTATATCTTTCCATATGGCCGCCTCAGAGATAAGGACTATGTCTTCGAGTAGGCCCTTTTTACACGCCTGAGCCCGGCAGACTGGTCACCCGCTACGTTCGATTCTCCGCAGGGACAACTGTGATGAACTAACTTGGCTTCAAAGTGCTTGGGTGATCCCTCCAGGTCCGTTCTCAAGAGACGTCCAAAATAAGGGCGAGTAAGCACGAGAACCAGCATTTCCAGTAGTATAGCACCCAAGTACAAGTTAGAATCATTGATCTGGATCGCAAGTGTCCGGTGGGCAGTTCCAGAGGCTGTGAGCTGCATATTTAGTGGTAGGCATGAGTTGTGATGATGGTCCCACTAATTGTAGAACACCAAGCCATTGAATTTCAACACATTTTCCATTACTCGCAAACCCTTTTCTATCCTTGCGACTCTTGATTACCTAACGATGAGTCTTGGCGATGCATGAGGCACCGTGGCAGAATGGACCAGGACCGGAGACGTTGGTGGTTTCGGATCCGCACCCCCTTAGCGGGATCCCTGTTTCAGCCTCAATGACAACCGCCCATTTCGACGTCGCCTCAGCACCATCGGCTAGAAATTGCATCCCAATGAAGAAGTGCTTATCTGGAATAAGATGTACTTGTCTAGCCCCGTGTGGAGACACGGTACTTGGCGTAGGTAGGTGAGAGAAGCGATGCTGGGCTTGCTGTGACGGCACCGCACGGTTGGGAGACAGGCGTCTCGGTCTCAGATGTCAAGCTCTTGGGGGCAGCCTATCCAGTCCCGGGTCCGCACCGACCAGGTCTTGGTAGTTCCAAACCCGTCTTTTGTCTGTTCTTTTGTCGTGTCCATCTGATCTCCTCTCTTCTTTTCCTTTCACACCTCCCTTCTCTCGCTGCTGTGCGTCTGCTTTTCTGTTCGCGGCCGTTGCCTTTCGTTCTTGCATTTCTCTTCTCTCGTGGCCGGACCACCTTCGCTTCTTCGTCTCTAGCCGCTTTGGACCATATACATATATCTATTCGTCTTCTTTTTCTTCTTCCTAGTCGCCTCTTCTCCCTCGGCAGTGCCAGATTCTCTAGCCGGTCTACATCAAGAACAACTCCAAGATGATCTCGCGCATCTCCATCCTCGCCTGCCTGCTCTGGGCCCTCGCCCTCGTGCAGGCCTACCAGACGGCCGACTCGCTGGACATCAACGACCTCGAGACGCGCCAGAACATCAACACGGGAACGGCTGGCACGGGCAGCTCCAACGTCAACGTCGGCCCGCTCGGCTCCGGCACGGGCAGCACGACAGGCACAACAGGCACGACGGGCACGGGCACGGGCACGGGCGTCAACGCCAATGCCAACACCAATGGCAACGTCAACGCCAACGCCAACGCCAACGCCGCCAACGACCCGAACCTCGGCATGACGGTGATGCCGGCGACCTGCCTCGAGTACTCGCGCGTGGCCAACTACTCGACCATCGGGACCAACAGCACGTACCGCGCGTCCTTCCAGCAGGCGAGCCCGCACGGCACCGACCAGGCGTCGGGCATCCTCGACTCGGCGACGGCCAAGCTGCCCGACTTCAAGTTCAACGCGGCCATCAACGCGCGCTGCGGCAACCTGTCGCAGGTCGCCGTGGCCGGCGCCGAGGCCAACTTCACGCAGGGCATCGTGGCCGAGTTCAGGATAAGCGCCGCGTCGCCGGGGCTGCGCGGCGGGCTGGGCATGATGGTGGCGGGCTTGGTGGTCGCCGTGGGCATGGTTGTTGCTTGATTTGATTTGGGTTGGGAGAGGGAAAGAATGTGAGGGAGTTCCCAGGGTCAAGGGTGGTCTCCAGTGTGTGTCTCCAGTATCGTGGAAGGACACGGGATAAGATGCTGCTTCTGAGGAGGGATGGAAGAGGGACTTTTAGGTTTCACCTCTGGACAGAAAGAAGAGGTCCAAAGCCAGGCACAGCCCTCGCTGCATCCTGCGCTTGAGGCATGGCGTTCGAACATACGGCATTGCAACCGAGTTTATCGTATTCATGCCTCATACATGCTCCTTTTGTGATCTGCTGCTTCCGTTTAACTTGATGAAACTATTGTCACCACTTCTCTGTTAAAGAATGGGATAAGACTAAAGAAGAACCAGCGTGGGTCAGTTCGTTCAGGGAACATAAGTCACAATAAGGGCACTCTCTCCCAACCAATGAGAGCCACCATCTGGTGGACAACCGGTTTCACACCCGGGGATATGGTCTAGTGGTATGACATTCCCTTAGCATGGGAAAGGTGTTGGGTTCGATTCCCAATTTCTCCAACTCTCATTTTGTTTTTTGGTGTTCTTTTTGCTCTTCCGGGCAAGAATGCCGACTTGATGGCCTTGGCAGTTTTGGATTGGAGAACAGTCCTTCATCTTTTTGCTTTTGTCAGTAAAATGTCACGATTTACAAGCCAAGCACGGGCTCATTGACATGACTGCGCCGCTGTCTACAACTGAGTAGGTTCACATGTCAATGACCATGGTTAGAGAGAAGACGAGCATTTCAACATCGATCAATCGAACACAGACACGGACAGTCAAGAAGCGGGCAAAAGCTGTTGTCAATGGGCTCAATTGTTGATCTGCGGTTTGCTATAACAAGATTGACCCGATTGCAGTAGAGATCTTTTCCTTCCCGGCAGCGCGGATTCATACAGAGCGCGCGTCGCAATTCCCGGGCTGCTGTGCGCGGGCTGCTCGTATCGCTGCTGCTCTGCAGTCTCTCCGTTGCGCCTGCGGTGTCCAAAGTAATGCGATGCTCTGGTCGAGTGACATAGAAGAGAGGAGGGGGAAGAAGAATGCCGTCCGCCGGGGGCCGATGTTGATATCTGGCGGCCCCGAAATCCCAAGTAATGCAGCAAAAGGAGAGGGAGTTGAAACATGGTATCGTGCTCTCCAAAATCCCAAAAAAAGCCAGCCCTCGGTCGCGTGAGCCAATTCTCTGTTCTCTCAGTTTCTTCGTACACTTTCGTGCCCAATCCTGGGTACACGACTCGTCGTATCGTCCCGTCTGTTTTGGCTGCTGACCGGCATGCACCCTTTCCTCTATGCAATGACAAGAAAATAAAGTTTGGGTTATTCGTCAGAACTTGTCGTTGAGTTTTGCCCAATACTGTTGATGCGAAGGTTGAAATAAGACACGCGCTTTTGGATGGTATATATCGCGTGCTGGGAAAATAGTGCATCGCTCAGATAAATTCTTTTTGTCGTTTGCTCGTTCGTTCGGTCGGTCACTCCGCGCTCACACTCCCCTTTTGGAATCGCCCCATCTCAAGGGCCGATTCAAGCGAAGAGGGTAGCGCCACCGGTCTCGACCGCCTCGATCTCGGCGAGGGAGATGGGGGCCCTCCGGAAGCGGGCGGGGAGCTCGTTGCGGTCAAAGAACATGCCCTTGGGAGCCTCAACGGCGCCGAGCTGGGCGCCGCTGGCACCGCCGACGCCGGACTCCTCGAGGGAGCGGAAGGTCTTGCGCAGGGGGCCGTGCTGCTGGGCGGCGTCGCGGTAGGAGCTGAAGGAGGAGTGGGAGGAGCCCGAGGTGAAGCTGGAGGGGAGAGAGTGGGTGGGACTGGCAGGGTGAGGCTGAGGAGCGTGGTCGACAGCGGCTGGAAGGGAGGGGCAAGTGGTCAGTCATGCTTGATTCGTCTCGAGAATGGAGAGGGGGAGAGGGCGAGAGGAGGAGACGAGAGGGGGGAAGAATCTACTCACCAGGAATGCTGCGCTTGCCGACGAACTTGATGAGAGGGGTGCGCTCGGCGTGAGCAGCAGCCTGGCGGAGAGCCTTGGTCGCGAACATGTTTGCGGATGGGAGGGAGGCGGCGAAATGGATTGGGTTTCTGGGAGTTGTTGTGCTGCCTGGGCGTCCGGTGGTGTGGTGGTGCTAGACGGACTACGGCGAACTCGGTCGTCGTAGAGGCTCTGATGTGTTGGATTGAATGCCGGGGAATTGTTTCTGGTTCGAGAGGAATCGAGGTCGAGACTGGCTGGCGAACTGGTTTGGCGTGGCTTCTGTGATGGTGTGTTGGTGTTGACGGGGAGTGAAGAAGGGGCAGGAGGAGGGAAGGAGGGTAGAGAAATAGACGTGGAAGCGACCGGGCTATTTTTTTCACAAGCTCGAGCTTTGGCGGATTCGGGATGGGATGGAAAGGTCGGCTTTGGCGTTTTCGGGGGCCCGAGCCTGGGTCGAGGTAACTAAGGTACCTAATAAGCTCACCTCAGTCCTCAGGTTTGCTGCTAGCTCGAACGGGTGGAGGAGGTACATCTCCCAAGGGCGCAAAGTGGTGTAGGGTCCAGCGCAAGGCCGGCCAGTGCCAGGTACCGTCGGGGCACCTGGTGTTAGTGCAAACACCGCTCCGAGGGCCGGACCCTGCTAAAAACCGGCGCCAAGGCAGCCCTGAGGCCAGCACAGGGCAACTGGAGGGCATGTGGAGGACTTGGAGGACTGGAGAACAGAGATAAACTTGCAGACTACACCAAAGAATTACACCACCCATCTCTGCCAGCCAATCACAGGCCGCCGCTTTGCATCTGACGGCCGCGCGGGGTGCAGTCGTGGTTCCTCGATTCTTGCTCTTCGAGTCGCGCCGGCGCTGATTTGTGAGCACATGCTGTCAAAAGATGGGCTCATCTTCAGCCCACCCTGGCCCCCCATCCCCTCCTCCGTGGTGACATGCGATGCCAGCCTAGGCAGTGCAGGCACACACTCTCTCCGTACGCATCTCGGAGCTGGAGCGACGGAGCGGTGACTGCAGTATCAAAGCGACCTGCATGTGTCGGTTGGGAGCAGCTCTTTCACTCTCCCTACTGCGCCCTCCTTCAACCCCCCACATCAATCAGAAACCTCTGAGATAAAAATTCCCCATGGAAAGAGCTTAGTGATCATCATCTTAGGGCTGTCGATCCAAGGAATGGCGTCCAATTCGAGGCGTGAGACTGACACTGGCTTGTCCGGGGGACCGCACTTCACAGACTGGCCCCCTTCTGTCCGCAAAGTCCGGGGCGCGACACCACCACCACTTCCCCAACCCCGAACGCACACGGCCTTATCAATCTGAGCAGCTATTTGTTCTGTGCCAATGAGATGTTGTCTGTGGTAGAGCAGATGGGGTGATGGACAGGATCTCTGGTCCAACCCCGCAACTCGCCGTTGCTGCTGTGAAACGCCAGATCGAACGACGACTCCCGGTTCTCATTCTAGCCATCCTGCCGCTCCTCCTCCTCCTCCTTCTTTGCTTCGATGCGACTGTGCATCTCATCATCTAATCTATACCACTGGCCTCCCTCTTTGACTCTGGTCCCCTCTCTCCGGCAGATCCTCAACGTGCAGCAATGCGGTTGAGAGATGTATCCCTGCCCAATCCTACCATTCCTCCCTGCATCACGTAGACGGGGGATATGTTCCATGTCTCCGTGCCGCAATCTTGCACCAGGGCAAGCTATCCCCGCTTCCCCAAATAGAGGCTGCATGCTGCGACGCGACCTGTGTCCACGCCAACGGCCAATCCCAAGCGCCGGAGGGAGACCAGACAGAGGGTCTCCTCTCCGGTCATCGCTCCAACGCGCGCAGCTTTAACTACGCGACCGACCCGATCGCCAACGGTCGCCCTCGGATTAGGAACCCGAGTCCACCGTAGGCGACGTCCCTGCAGAGAGAGCCTCCACCTTGGGCCAACACATGGTTCTTTTTTTTTCTCTCTCCGGCGCGCTTGGCGGAAGTCGCCGATATCGCCCTAAAATCGCCTGATCTGCTAGCCTCAGGGCACAAAACCCACGGAATCCTCTCTTGGCCACCGCATACCGCCGGAAAAATCATTACAGAACAAAATGATACAGGCGCACGTTTCATAGCGTATGGTGCCATCTTGCCGGGGATTTCGTTCTTCCTGCCTCCAGTGTCGTCATCAATCCAACCTCAACTCCCCGAAATGACTTTGGGCCGTCTTGACCATGTTCTTGTAAAGCAATTGTTCACGACGTAGAAAGGCTTCTCGATTGCCAACTGTGATGATCAATCTCGTAGACGCAAGGCACATGCAATCGTGGGAGAATGTTCAATCACCGGCCTAGCCAACTCCGTCTCCGAGGTGCTCCGATAATTTCGCCGCGAGGCCGGAACTCTTTGATGCCATTGCCCTCTGATAGATGAGTGAATCCGTAGCAAGGGGCTTAGTGCTTCTTCTCGGACAATGGGCTTCCAGACCTACCTTGCATGAATGTGCATATACCGTCGTGAGAAGGAGTGGTCGAGAGTCACATCAATCATGAGAACTTGGAAGTGAGGACTCAACAGGGGTGCGACGAAATAAAGCAGTGAAACAACAGCCATATCGTATCAAAACAGACAGGCTTCAAGCTTGACAAGGCCGGAACTACCTACCCTCGACACTCTTGGCGGAGGTGCCTTGGGGGGGCAAGTGAACCTCACGATGGCCAACTTCTTGTCTTCGAACACTCACCTTTCACATCTGCTACCTAATGTTTTCGCTGAGGAAGGAGGCTCTGTCATGATACATAACACCGCTCATACCGAAAGTGATGCAGTGACATGCTTTACCATGGCTGGGTCATCTTACTTAGTCTACTGAGTCCAACCAGAGATTTATTCTTTCGAAAATCGTAGCAGCATTCACGATGCCCTCGGCTCCGAACGTAATCGCAGTTCAGCTGTGATCGATATAGAGCCTTTCATCCACAACAACACTCTGGTCTCTTATCCAAGCTCTTATACTATCACAGCTTTGCACATTCATAAGAGTGGGAGGCAGTATAGTGAAAGACACCAACCATCTCTCAAGAGATGATCCGGCCGTTTCATGTCTTGTGCATCGCGAGTTCGCTCGTTCTTTTCATTCGAGTCGATATCGAAGTCGTATCTGTTGTGTCTTGGGAGGATGATCTGCACTCAGCACGAATTCGTGATACTGTCGGAATGCGGCGACGATCTTGTCTGTTCTGAGGTCGATTCGTAACGCTGACATCATGGGACTTCGCGGCCAGGCTCGACGTAAAAAGAGCTACTTATGCCCATCGGTGAACCGCTCGAACCTAAGATCATATCATCAACTCTCTCATGACAGTGAGCAATCTCAAAGATGGATCCCAGTGCAGACAAACGCGGGGCTTTGTCGATGACCACCTCTCTGTGAGGACGGTTCACGTCTCTGCAGTGAAGTTGACCTTGTTAACCTTGGCTAGATTGATCATTGTCGATGAACAACTACTTCTGGACTCCCGTGGATCGTTCAGTAAACTTCATGATCAAGCCACCCAGGCATCTCCTCGGAGACAAATGGTCAGCCAGTTCATGAAGGCGTTCTTGGGCTTGGTCCGTGAAAGAGGGTGCTGAGATGGGCTCCAATGTACGGAGTAGGCGGTCGTGGCCTCTGCCTGACTGGTTGGTTCCCCCATGTTGGTTCTCGTCCACGATATTGATGTTTGAGAGTAGTACTGACCTCGGACTAGGATGCCTGGTCGACAAGAGACGTGCTTCCACAAACACTTGTTTCTCCGAGGATATCCCCGTCCAGACTAGGAGAAAGGTGAAGAACAGGCCTGGTTCGACTAGCCATTGACAGCGGTATGCGTTCATCACGTCGTTGCTAGTGGTTCGCGGGCACTTGGATACTACAGGGATGAGCCATGGGAGCTGCCCGAGACCGCCATACTCGTATTGACAGGCGGACACGAAAAGAATGCAGCTGCCGTCTCGGATGGGGTGGAGCATGGGCCTGCTTGACTTGTGGAAATGAGCAGGCGGTATTCGGAGCTCAACGTCGACATGCACTGCAACGTCATGGCAGGAATATCTGCCCATTCTTTGCGCCTAGGGCGTCACGGAGAGTAAAACAATTCGTCTTATTTCATAAATTTGCTTGGAGGGTACCCGATCCCGCACAGTTCCCGACGACCTCAGAGCCATGACAATTCTTTCGAGGACATCAGAAAAGGAGCCCAGGTGTGTGTCATGCAGTGGTCCACACGACAAGGGTATTTCCAAGAACAAGAAAATTTCCACTCCGTGGCAATGACGCCCGAGACAAAGACATTTGGATGACCAGAGGTCGCACGGGACCGGGAACCACTAGCAACGACGTGATGAACGCATACCGCTGTCAATGGCTAGTCGAACCAGGCCTGTTCTTCACCT